TTTTTTTAGGATGTAGTATGTGTGGAGTGTTCATGATCTGTTTTACTCTGAAATGTCCTTCCTGCCACTTTTTGTCCAGAGTGGTGTAATCTTACATCATTAAAAACCATTGCTGCTTTGTGAGTTTGGCCCTGCTCTGTAAGACAAAAGTCAGACAGAGTCAAATATTCAGAATCCGCTAAAGTCATCCTGTGATAATTTCTTCCTTGTTGCAGATGGAACATTTTTAAAGCATGAAGTAATATGCATACTGATGGTTATATCTTTCCTCTGAGAAGCTTAGTGGTTTGTGCTGACAACAAAAAGTTGGCAGAGTAACCCATGGTGAAAGCTGTCCTATTTAAATTTCTCTTAAGCATCTTCATAGGCTCTTCAAGGGGACAGCAACTTCCAGTAAATTAACAAAACTAGAGACTAACTTGTCTCAGTGTGTGTGGCCATTTATAGAATCATAGAATGATCTGGGTTGGAATGGGTACAGTACGCAGCATGAAGCTTCTTCTGCTATGTTAATAGATTAGTAAATTATAAGCCTGTTACGCAAGATGCCATTTACAGTCTGAGTAGTACAAATGTTCTGGCTTATCTCTCTTCATGTTTATGCAAGTTGCATGTACATGCACACATGTTGAGAGGAGAATACGTGTGCGTGTGTGTGTGTGTGTGTGTGTATGTGTGTGAGCAAGTAGTGATTTTCTGTCCCTTAGATTTTGGATGTCCACCTAAAACTGTCTGAAAGATGATGATTTTCAAGTGCCACGTTAAGTGCCTGAGTGAGGCACCTGACAATAATGTGTTCTTATTGAGAAATGCTGATGACTCTTCTGACATCCAATGATGTTCAAGAATGTGGGTGAGATCTAAGTGCATGCTGTCCTGGCTTTAATCATTCTGATATTCCACAGTGAGTATCAGAATGATTTTTTTTTTTTTAACCTTTATTTACCTTGGGATTGAGCAGTTTGACAAAAATGCTTTTGAACTTGAGTTAAAAACTAGAAAAAAAATACACATGATGTGTTTGTTGATGTTAGGTGTTTTGCAGTCTATGACAAGACTGCTAGAAAATGGTTAACATCCTTACACATGTACAGCCTGGTAAAAGAAACCATTGTCAATAACACCTTGCGTGGGAAAATTTTGCTTTTGTTTTTGGTGTTGGTTTACCTCACATGAAAGTTGAAGATATTCAAGATGGTGAAAGAATACTTCATTCTAATAATAACAAAGACAAATAATAAATATATCAAGTTACAAATTTTTTGTGAAAAGTTTTTATAAAATGTTGGGATTTCCATCAGAAAATCACCCCCTTACAAATTCTTCAGTTTAGAATTGATACTCTGAAAATGTAATTTCTTTGCAAAGAATTCTTTTTTTTTAATTAGAAAAGCTTTGCAGTAGTTTAATGCTAAGATCAGTAGCTAGTAGTATCTACTTTTGTGTTACTAAAATTTTATACTGTTACCCCAGAAGAACTCAGGATATGTGTAGTAGTCTAGACTGCATGTAACAACGTAGACTATTAAATATAAAGAAGAAAAATTAAAAAATAATTTAAGGTCTTTGAAATTATTTTTATGCTATTTTTTTCTCAATGTAAAGCTGTTCAATGAAATCTGCTAGGTCAGCAACTCATTTGTGACTGCAGCACATTCAGGCCCCAGGAGCAGACTCAGAGCAACTTAGAAAAGAGTGTAATATGGACATCAGGTGATGAGGATGCCATGCAGTTAGCCTGGTTTTAGCCTACTTAATGTGTTAAGGTACACTTTGTCTACCTTTGTCTGAGTATAGATTTTAGGTACACTTCCCATACACTTTTCTGTATTGCCAGCACCAGACTGAAAATGATTTTATTCAGGACTTAAAACAAGTAACTAGCTTCTGGAAAACAGAATGAAACAACCTTCAGCAGAGACAGCTGCAACACAGCTCCTTGGAAGTCCCTCCTTGAGAAGCTATTCCTGCTTGGTACCTCTCTTAGGGCAGGTTTTTATTTCCAATCTGCAGTCTTAAAGTAGAATTTAATAAAGCCTCCCTTCTGTCCCTGTTACCCTCACCCCAGTTTTACTGTTTGTTTGTGTTAGGAGTTGAATGTTGACATTTCTCTGTGGCTTCTGTAAAGTCCTTGTACTGAGTACAAAGGCAATGCACATCTTTTTCCACATCCTATGCACTACTCAAAAAAATCCTTTCTGCTGTTTCTGTGAGACATTGGATCCCAGGTCCTGGGAAGATCACTTTGGGGGATAGTCGTCTTCTGTTTATAGGCTGCTGAGACCACATGAAAATTTCCCAAAAGTTCTGGTTTTCCACATACCCTGAAACTCTAAGTCTGACAAAGAGCCTAGCTTCCTATTCCATTTCAAAGACTTGTACAGTTCTTGCATCATAAGCATTTGCTCATGCAAAGCCCCTAAACTTTGCCAGAAATTCTCTTTTCTGTGTACCAAATTATGAGGTTGGTCACAAGGAGAAAAACAGGTGGCTGAGGTAGCATCATGTTTGAACAAGAGGCTTACAATGAGGTCAAATCATGATTTGTATGTCACAGCTGCAGTTCAGTCTCAGCATAATGCTGAGGAGAATCTTGGAGCTTTATGTTAAGATTTTATTTACCCGATTGTTTTCCTGCAGCTGAATATTTCATTGAAAACAATTTATTGAAAAGTTGCCCTATTTTTTTCTGACTGGTTGACTGAATCTTTGATGCATGTAAAATTGAGAATAAGAGATGATGAGAAATGTGTCTGACAGTCACCCCAACAAAATAAACCAAAATACCTAAAAAAAACCCCACCAAACCAACTGCGGCCAGTCCTTTGGAAAGGATGGATTTCCTTCTACCTCAGCATGATCCACCCATTTCAAAGTTTTTGATAAATTTTTCCTAGTTTTGTGGCTCTGTGGTTTCCAAGAGTGCTAAAAGAAGCAAAGTGCTGCTCAGATACCTTCCATCCTTTCCAGGCTGTTTGCTGTCAGCACACACTTATTGATCACAGGTATACAGATGAGTGTGACCTGATTTCTGACTGGTTGAATTCCCCTACATTCTGCAGGCCAAGTAGTGTCTGCCTTCTAGGAAGTAACCTCTGCCTTTGGCTACTAATACAGGATATAGGTGACCCGCTGGTCTGTTCCAAAGCAGTGCAGGTAACAGGAGGTGCTTGATTCTTGCCTGTTTCCCTCCTAATACGGACTGAATTTAGTAACTGCCTCACGTAGGATTGCTGTGTAATTGATAGAGAGGAAAGAGTATTTCCAAGTTCAGAGTTGGTCCTCTAGAGGCGCCTTTCTCTGTTTCAGCTAAAATGTTTTAAAAGGCCAGCCTTCAGTTAAAAAAAAGATAATCATTTAGAGGAGAAAGGACTGAATTTATGTTGCTTCATACTAGATAATTCCTTTTAGTTTTGTGAGATATTTCTGCTTTGGTTTGTTCTTACACCATATTTTTGTAAATGTAGATGTAAAGCAGGACTATTTGGATAGTATGCCAAAAGCTGGTATAGTTCAGAAGCTCCTGTTGTCCTTCCTGTATCTCTTGCATGAATCTGATGACATCTGTCCAAGTGTCTGGTAATTTAAATTTTCAGGAAGAAAGAGCAAGTACTGAAGAAGAGAAGTACAGAATACATCTTGGCTTTTTGCTACTCTTAATTAACATAAACCTTCTAAGTTGATATGGATCTAATTTCCATATGAAGAAAGATCAAAGAAAATGAATGTCCATGAGCTTTGTGAGTCTCTTACCTGCAATAAATAATGAAAACTCATTTCAGGTGATCTGGACAAATGATGAATATCATAATCTTAATTTTCAGTTTATCCTGATGAGACTGTAAACTGTAGGTGTATCTCTTAGAAATGTAAGGACATGTTATGTAAAGACATGTTATGGATATGTACTTCAAATAACAGATTACTAAGAACTTGGGGGTCAGAAAAGGTGCAGTTTTCCAAGAGACACAGACATCACTTATCTGGAAAATAATGTTTAAAGTCTAGATAGATCTTTGGGTTTTGCTTCTTTTTTGCAATACTTTAGTATTTCATGCCTAATCAGACTCAGAGCATGCAGCAGTTTCATATCTTTAACAACTCTTTTCCTCCCTCCACCCTTTCAAGGGTTTTTTATGTGAATAAGGTACAAGCTTTCATCCTGTTAGAGGATGTGAGGATGTCAGCAGTAGGATGTGTAAGAATGTCAGTCGGTGGTTTATGGGAAAATCTCCCTCTCTCTCACTCTTACAGATTTTAAGGATGGCAGCAGGAGTAATTTGCTAATACTTTGTTGGCATACATTTTATTAAATTCTGGTAAATTTTCTTCAGTGAATATTCATAAGCTGCAAAAACTGAAAAAGGTTTTCTAGAACAAGGTTATCTTGACTGAAACTCATTTTAACAGAGCTTGGTCCATTTCACTTGCTTCAGTCATCTACTTTGATGGACAAGTGAAAACGCTAATGATTGAAAAAGTTTAGTTTTTTATATTTCTGCTGAAGGTAAAAGAGTGTCTAGGTTAAGCATTTAGAGGAAGATGTCATTTATCTCATTAGTTCTAATATAAGCAGGGAAACAGCTGAATTGGCCAAAACATCAAATAAATACAATTACAAAAAAGGTTATACAAAGGGTAACACTGTTGACTTAAAATGCTACATGGTGATTTTATATATTTTGCTGGAGGTTTTCTCCTCTATCTCTATCTTCAGACATGTAGAACAGAGACACCCACATGTGAACTAGGTTAGATATGGTCATATCCTATCCAGTCAAAGCATTTCCAAAACATGGTTTGTCTGGCTTACTTCCATCCGATATTTTCTTTGGGCTTATTTGACTCCCAAAGTGGTTATTTTTTTCCTTTGGCAATTAATGGTAGGCCAGACATATAGCTCACACATAGGTTTATTTTTATGGACAGGCTAATCCCACCTTCTCATATAATTTAGCTTAATTCACAATGATAATTGTGATTTATAATTGTGCATGCAGGTTGGCCAGGACAAAGGAAGCTGTTCTTTCCACAGAAACCACAGCCCGTGTGTTGTTCCTCAAGAGAATGAAAATATTTTCCACACAATATTTGCTTTTTTCACGAAGTCCGGCAGAAAAGTATTGGTAAGAAACAGCACCACTTATGACACACTTGAACATACAGCATATCCTACAAATGATTTTGCATGGCTTGGCATGAAGATCTGAAGCAGATTGTTCATTGTAGAGCAGCACTTTGGTGAATATGTAACACAGTTGGTCACCAGAACTTTCACTCTCCTGTTCTGTCAAAGGCACATGGGGGCAGTGGGGCACTGCACTGTACTTGGTGCCTGACCCACGCAGAGGGCTGATGTGCAGCAGTGGCCTTGCTCCTTCCAGGGTGCTTGCCTGGCTCAGCACCTCTGTAGAGGGCTGAATTTTATCAGCTGGCTTGCCTTCATTCAGGTCTCTGTATCCAGAGGTCTTCAGGTCTTGAAAGTTTCTGATATTTCAGTGTAAGAGTGCTGTACTCTAGCAGTTTACTAAATACCTTAGTTTTCTAGTGTATTTACTGTCACACAATTTGTCATCGAATTTTCACCTCCTTCACCTAACAGCGTTTTCCGTATTTCCTATAGGACTGTGAAACACCACACATGTCCTGCTTAATTATACACTGCAACTTAAGCTCACTACCCAAAGCAGAGTCCTGTGATATAAGTATCTACATGCTGCTGAATACTGAGATACTCAAGAAGGTACGTGCTTCCCTTGTAGGTTGTCCTAAATACCAACTTAAGTGTGCTTATGTGTGCCAATGAACTCAAAACTTGAATTTCTTTCTCTCTTTACTAGTGTGTTAAAAAAAAAGTTGTGGTATCAAGGAAAACAGATATATTTATCAACAGTGTGTATGATGCAGGTGTTAATCCTAGTTCTTAGCCGTTACACATTAAGACAGGAATAGACTAAGTTCAGAAATTTATGTATTGAGAAAGAACAAATGAGTCCCCTAACGGTTGGGGTGTGGTGTTAAGGCTAGAGACTTCTGAAAGTTGAGTTAATTTCTGAAAGTCTTCATTCTGAAAAACGAAAAGCAGAGTAACTGAATATAAACTGTGACCGGCTATGTATCATTCTTTCTGTGTAAAAAGAGAGATGGTAGTTTTTTGTCATTTTTACTTCAAATTACTATTATTCAAAGAAGATGGATCATGAACATATTAATGCTGAGCTTGATGTTTATGACATGGAACAAATGGTTGCAAGTTAATTTCTGTCTTCTCTGAAGACACTGAATGAGACAACAGATCTTAAATTTTAAGTGATTTACTGCATTTTGGCCTGTTTTCCTTTACTTACAAAAATGCTGACTCTCTAATTGTGGCAAGGTGCTCTAAGATTATGAGGGTTTAAGAGAACCAGAGGAGAAGGCTGATAACATGAGCCTACTAAAATAAACCTCTCTTTGATAAATGCTAGATTAAAAGCATCAGAGAGAGCTCTAATTAGAAAACAGTTGCTAAAGTAATTGATAGCCTTGAGCTTTCCCAATTGAAACCAATGAGTCTGTTTGTTTGTTCATATGTGAAAATAGGAAATATGGGCTGGGCCATAAGTTTCAGGTATTTGTTACATGTTTATGGAAATGCTGAAATATGTAAGTAAGTAACTGAGTACACACAAAATATACTTCTGGAAAATTCAAATTTGGGAATAGCCAGGATTCACCCCATCTACTGGGTGCCTTGCAAGATCACTACTAGTAACAGTCCTTTAAAAGATGTACAGTATTTACACATGTGTTTGGGCCAGTATCACCAATGTGTGCCATTTGCTACTTACCATCTGCTCTTCCCAAGGTGGTAAAACTGCATACAAATGACTAACCTCTAAGCTGAAATGCCATCTTACTGAAATGTGCCTGTTGAAATGCACCATGCATTTCAAGGCAGAAATATATATCAATAAGATGAGATGTACAGTAAATATTTAGGATATCTGCCATGCACAGATTCTAATAATTAAGAAGTTTTCTCCTTGGGTTATATTGGAGTTTATCCCAATACAGATTTTGTATATCATTTTTCTGTTCACTTGAAAAACAATTCAGAACTTTTTTTCATGGTTAATATTGAGCCTGCCTGTGTTATTGGCAATATTCTGTCTTACTTTTTGATAGATGTGGGAAACATGAACAAACCTAATACAAAGTCCAACATACCTGATTTTGTTTTATTCTGAAATATTATGCTCAGTTATATCTGTCTGTTATGAGCAAAAGGAATATTTTTTCAAAGCAGCGTTTTAACCAGGCTAGTATTTAACTGTCAGCCTAACTTATACTAAGCATTTTCTGGATGTTTTTATTACAATGGCAAATTTTGATGATTTGGGTTTGTGTTTTTTTTATTGGGGGGATTGGTGGTTTTGTTGTTGTTATTTTGCACCCTTAAATCCAATTCTTCCTCTGTTTACTTCTCAGGACAGTTCCTCGGTCATCCAGTTTGTCACAAGGGCAAGACTGAGGGTGGACCATGACCTCAGAGTTGTGGAGGTGCCCAGTGGGAGCCCAGAAGAAAAACCAGTAAGTAAATAAACCTGAAGAGAAAGGTTTCCTGATCCGAGTGGGCTGGAGATCACTGAGAGCTCTCTACAAACTGGAATCTGTGGCTAGGCTTGGGCTGGGCCAGCCCAGACTATGTTTGGCTAGACCTACAGTGCTGTGAACTGTGCTTCTTGGTTTTGCTCTCTGTAATAACTGTGTCATCAGAGTGAATGATGTTATGTGGAACCAGAGATATCTGTGTTGTGCAAGCTAAAAGTTTAATACCCTCAAGGTATTCATGCAAAAATTAGTTTTAGCTTCCTGCTTTAGGGTTAATCTAATTCAGATTTTCCTTGAAATTCAACTTAATTTTTGCCTAGTGAAATTTTAAAATTTCATTTCTTATTCCTCTCTCACATGAGGATGAGAGGTAATCTGGACTACTTTCTATTTTTCTTCTTGCTGTGTGTTTTCAGAACATGATCCCTCCTCTCAGTTATCCTATGTCATCTCCACTAGCCTATACAACCACTCTTATTGCCTCCATTTTAAGTGAGCGACATTGAGGTCTCGGTATGAGAGCATTGAGTTCAATACACTTTTGGAAGACATTGACGCCCCAAATTAAAGCACTTATCTCAGAGATACTGGATTTAAAATCCCATAGGTAAATTAGGTCTACATCTCATTGCTACTTTAAGTCTGAAAGTAGAGACACCACTATAATGCCCATTCACAAGACTCTCTGGCAGTCACACTCCCAACACCAGAGACTTTCACTGCTGGTACCAAAGCCCTTTCACAGTAGGCAACTCCGGCTGAGCCAACGGGTGCCCCGCTTGACTCCCTACAAACTCCACTCACACACAGTCAGACGAGGTTTCCTTACTGGTTCGACCCCAGATTTCCCATAGCAGAGTCTCAGATGTCTAATTACATAAAGCAATTAATTCATGGTGTGGTAACACAGAAACAGTCTGATCTGGGTACCTCCGAGGAGGACCCCCAACCAAGGAAACTCTGCTCACAGTCCAAGCTGCATGCAGGACACCCTCTTCCTCCAGAGTCCTTTACTCCTGTTGTGTCTCCCAGTGTCCATCCACCTGATTTGCTCTACTGGTTCTTCCTGTCTTTTGTTATCCAAAAGGTTGGCAGTTCACTGCTATATCTCTCAGTGTCCATTCACCTGGCTGGCACCACCTATCTTCCTACTCTTCATTAACCATGCTCTTGTCTCAGGCTCCCATCCACTCAATCCGCATGTCAACCTACATCTCAATCTGCAGCTTGCAAACTGAGCTACCTGTACCAGAGGTATTTCTCAACAATCTCAACAATTATGTCTGTAATCCTAATTTTAACTTTTGATTTTATTAGACCTGTCAGAAAAAGGAATTATTTTATATGACAGGACCTCATTTTTCCCCTTCTGTTTTATTTTCTTTGTCAGGTTTCTGGACCATTCTAAAGTGCATTAAAGAATAGGCTTGACAGCTGAAATGAAAAACATAGCTAATCTTTGCTGGGAATGTGCCTGCAGCCCTTATTGTTGATACATTGCTTGATCTCTAGTTCTGCAGGTTGCACAGAGCAAATCTTGAAATTGTATGGCAAAATGTCATTAATGACTGAATAAAATCTGTGACACCCATGCCCCAACTGAAATAGAAACTAGGATCTCTATGCCAAATATTTTCTTCTGTAAAGGTTTTTAGAATCTCTCAGAATGAGAGGCACAATGTAAAATGCATGGAATTACTGTTATTTAATATTCAATATTTAGAAATGCTTTTATCTAGGAATGCAAGCTCTGTCATATTTCATTGTTATCTAATGCTTGAAGAAGAAAAAAGAAAACAAAAAAAAAGAAATTGTCCTTTTCCTGTTCCCAGAAAGCGTTTCAGCAAGTCTTGAGTTGCATCAGTTATGAAGTGCACAGTGTGTACTGGGAAGCTATATTAATCTTAAAGCAAAAGATTGCTTCTAGGTCCTGGGAAACCCTAACTGTAAATGAGGATGCTTGACATATTGTAGCCATGTAACATCAATTTGTAGTTTCAAGCCTTTTCTCATCTGAGTGCCATTTGCTCTCTCCTTTATGCTATTTCCATACGTCTGTTGGCTTCACCATTGCTTTATGTTTTGCATAGGGTCATGTTCAGGCAAAAATTTAAGAGGTGGTTTTGGCTCAGGGTATTCATTTTCCCCTGTTCTCTTCTTGTGGAATGCAGAAGGCAATAGTACATGTTGCAAGCCACAACTATTCAACTGGAAATACAGAAAGGAGAAAGAAAATGTCTTTGTTCATACTCCTCCCTTCCTGTTTAAAGTTCATCCCATACTCTTCCTTGACCATGGACTGCTACCACATTCATTTGGATAGCAGTTCCTTCTGAACAGTTCTGCATGAACTTCCTATGAGTTTGTGTTCTCGAACAATAAAAACCCATTTTCTTAGACACTTTATCATGGTAAAGTAGAAAAGGCTGTTTTGCTCTCTATTTGCTCTCTATTAAGGCTAAATGTAGACTTATTAGCAGATTTAAATGGTTCTTTAAAAACAGTTGTCATTAATTCACTGGGAACCTTTGCAATATACTATACAATATCAGTGTGCAAACTCTCTGTAAAGAAGACAAATGGAAAAGAAAGACAAATGGAAAAGGAAGAGTGATATTTATGATGCTAGTATAAGAAGTACCACTGGACAACTCATATAAACACCAGCTTCGTCAGAAACTCCAGCAGACCGTTCATAAGGGAGATGTGAAAGCATATGTAAAGATCTCTAAGTTGGGTAGCAGGCTGTCCATGAAATGAACCCATTTTTTCAAAAAAAGATGCATTTATGCAATTCTCAGACATAATGTCTCCAGTTTTGGATATGATTTTATGTGATTTGGAACCGTATTTTCTGTCTCTGGTTACAACAGGCCGTTTGAACTCTTATTTTGGACAAATCACATGAAGAAGGTGAGCAAAGTTTGGATTTGGCTTTGTGATGACAGTGGTATTAACACAAGTATATATTGGCTGAAACTGATGGTGTGTTATTTTCAGAAGGCATACTTAATTTTCTTCAGCATATGGGTTTCCATGAAGGTTTGGCTCCCTCCTTCTCTGCATGTGAGGTGAAACCAACAATAAGCTCCATGAGACCACAGTAGTCAAATACACCAAATGTGCTCACCATTCTGTGCTCGCTGCTTGTGTGCAGGAGGAGGGTGAGTGCTCTTAAAGAGCAAAAGGACTTCCCGTAGAAGTGTGGAAGGAAGAATTGGCTGGATTTTACTACAGCAAAACCATCTGAATGCCCCTGATTCTTCCTGTCTTGAAAGTGAGGGCATGCAAAGCTGAATGCATGAAAACTCCAGATAAAACACATGAAGCTTCTGCAAAATAGTGCCCTGTAAAGCTTAAGGCTGCTGTATAACTGGTGCTGTCAGCTAAGTATAGGTATGCTCCATCAGGCCTTTGAACACTTCCTGGATTCTGGGTAGAATTCACTTTTCTCTCATTTTCAGCACAGTCACCCTAGGATTAGTGCAACACAGGCAAGTGGTTCTCCTCCACGGATTTTTTTTTTCCTCAGGATTTAGATAGGTTTATGTTTGCAATGATAAACAAACATATATTTTGGGGAAGAGCAATAACAAAAAACAAACTCATAAAAATTAAGCTTATGCTTGTGAAGACCTGCAAGGTATCTTTATATGCATATATATATGCAAAGAGATTTAAATGCATATTCACATACCTAAGCTTTAGCTGTCTACCTGCAGCATGGAGAACTTTGGCCTGTTCTCCATGTCTGTTGGAAGGAGCAGCCTGTGGTACTGGACAGTGCTCATGATGTCCCAGTGCTTTTTAAATGCATGTGGAAATACTTCTTCCACTCAGCAATCCACTGCCAACCACTCTTGTTTTTTAGAAGCACTCAGCATTTTAAGGAACCAGCTCTCCAGCTTAGCTTTTTGATGCCTGGCCATAGCTTTCTCCAGCAGCTTTGCAGCCTCGCACCAGTGGGTTATTTGCCGCTTTGTTGTTTTCACCATGGTTTGGTTTTTCATTTTGTTGCTTTCCCTTTCCATCTGCTTTTGTAAAATTCTTTTTACAGATTGTCTTGTCTTCACAGTGCAGTCTGGCAGGTAGAAACACACACTTGGGTAAAGGAACAGAACAATACACAATAACGATAAAATACAGTTAATTTCCCAGGGATAGAGACAAGCATGTTGCAAGGACACCTCAGGTTTGTATTTTTAAAGAACTTGCAATGCTTTTCTTAGTATATCTAAACAAATAAAATATAAAAGGGATGCATATACCTATATTTACAGATGTATAGGGCAATGGTGTCTTTACTGCTTACTCCCTTCAAGCATAACAACACTTAAATGGAAAAGTCAGCCAGCAATGCAGTGGGGTATGAAAAACCAGAAATATTTTGGGTGATAATACAGAAATAAAATATCATTTTTTTATAAGCCAAAGTGCTGTGGTTCATAATGCAAATGCATACAATTCATTTTGTGTATATAAGCAAAAAGAAATGAAAAATTTTCAATTATGTATTTTTAATATGATTTTGCTGAATTATGTGTCATGTCTTTCTGAGTCCCAGTGCAGTAGTGTTTACCTATTCTGCAAATGGCTTTGGCATGGTATGAACTTCAAATATTTTCAAAAACTCAGTCAACTTCTTCTTGACTACATGCTTTACTGAAATAGGGTGTTTTAAAAGCACTAAAAAAAGATTCTGCTTCTTTTTAATTTGTTAACTAAGATATAGCCATAAGGATATAGCGAGTGTTTAGCACAGGTAGAAGATGAACTGGTAGGTGCCCTTGTCCTTCTGGTTTCCAAATGTCAGAAATCAGTGGTTGGGTGCAGATCTCAGTTATTTTCCAGAAGGCCAGTTTTGTTGTGTGAAACCTGGTTGAGGTATGAGCTACATACAGCTAAATGGCAAGCTTCACTGCCTCCTGGGCATCCCTGCTTTCAGATCCCACATGTACAGTGTGAAATGCAAAAGATAAATATGAAACTAAAACTCCTCATACATTGTCAAGACAAGTCTTTTTCACGGCCTTTCCCTGGCGTTTCATTGGAGTCTGAGAAAAAGCCTCTAATTCACTCCATATTTAATGGCCATTGTATGTGCTTCCTTTGAACCAGACTGCTGCTGTCCCTACTGCCCTCTCTGGGATGCTTTCCCAACCCCACCCACCTTATCTTCTGCATCAGTCACTCTTATCACTCCTGTCTTCTCTATAGGTCAGGGCTGCCTTGAGCTGGGGACTGTCTTGTGTCCCCCAACATGTTGGCCACTCTGTAGGGGCTTTGCTGCTGGGGTTGACAAATGAGGAATTCAAAGTTTGCTCAAGATCGGCTTTCAGAGACTACATAACAGGTCAAGTGGCGGGCAGTGGATGGCACGCTTCTCTTTAGTACTATCACTCTCTGCCTCCAACCTTCCCATCAGGGATGACTTGCTTCCCTGGCCTCCCACCACTGACTATACTGGCTTTTTTGTGATACTCCAGACATGCAATATACATTGTCTGCGCAATCTGATTTGACTGGGGTTTAGCTTGGGTTTTTTGTTGTCGATACCTTCCTCACTGAAACTTATTGCAGTAACTGAGTATTAATGCAGACAGATTTTGAGGGCTTAAGACAGCTAGGGATATTAGTATGCACAACATCCCTGTTCCTCTCCAAACCATGAATGGGAATTTTAATGCATGTATGTTGATTCCAGACTGCTAGAAGAAACCAGGTAGATAAGAAGCTGTTCTTGCTCTACCCTTGTAGCTCAAGCTGTGACTGCAAAAGCTACAGCCAAGCTATTCTAGCCGGTGTGCTTCAAACCTAAAATGTGGAGCTCTTGATGCAGAGATTATGTATGATTTCATCTCTGCAGATGAAATTCCTGGCTCTGTCTTTTGACATCATAAAATGTGTCAAGTCTATTTTGTTGGAGGTTGTGATACGTTAACATTTACTCTCTGAATAGTGAAGGCACCACCTCAGTTTGCATCCAGGGACTGTTTGAAAGGTCTCTTCACTGAAGTTGGCAATATTTAAAATGTAAGGAGTTTGGAGAATTTTTTAGAGTCAGGAAAATAACATTAGTACCTTGTCATCTAAGAAATAGTCATCAGACTTGTGTCCGTTAGATGGATTCTAACCTCAGTGTGTGTGAAAAATGGACTGCCACATCAGATCATCTTTCCAAGCTGGGTCAGAAATGTGAGGAAAGCACAAGGTTTGTGTTTGATATCTCTGTCTGGTATTTCCCTTACACTGACTGTGAGGGACACTGCTGCTTAGGAAACTCTCAGTTCAGCAAAACGTCTTTGAAAGTCTGATGAAGGCTTTGTGCTAATATCTGAAAGGCTAAAATTATTCATTTTTTGGGTTAAGAACTGGTCTATATTCAAAGGCTATTTTGAGCATTGTGATACTAGGTATGGGAATATTTTTGGATAATGCTGTATATGTAGAGCTTAGTTTGTGTCCATTTGCTATGTTTTCAAGTGTCGTTGTCATGACACCATAGCAAGGCCGCTTATGATCATCTTTGAAAGGTTGTGGCCATCAGGAGAGGTGCCTGAGGACTGGAAAAAAGCAAATGTCACCCTGGTCTTCCAAAAGGGCAAGAAGGAGGACCCAGGGAACTACCAGCCAGCCAGACTCACCTCAGTCCCTGGAAAGATGATGGAGCTCCTCATTCTGGAGGCCATCTCTATCCACATGAAGGAAAAGAAGGTGATCAGGAGTAGGCAGCATGGATTCACTAAAGGTAAATCATGCTTGACCCACCTGATTGCCTTCTGCAATAAGACAACTACCTGGATGGATGAGGGGAGAGAAGAGGATATTGTCTGCATTGACTTAGCAAGGCTTTCGACACTTGTCTCTCACAACATCCTCATAGGCAATCCAGTGTGGGCTGGATGAGTAGACAGTGAGATGGATTGTGAACTTGCTGAAGGGCAGGTCTCAGAGGGTCATAATCCATGGCATAAGGTCTAGTTGGAGTTCTGTCACTAGTGGGGTCCCCGAGGTTCAATACTGGGTCCAGTATTGTTTAACTTGCTCCTCAGTGACTTGGATGAATGGACAGATACCTCCTCAGCAAGTTCACTGCCAACACAAAGCTGGGAGAAGAGACCAGTACTCCAGAGGGTTGTACAGCCCTTCAAAACACCTTAACAGGTTGGAGAGATTGGCAGAGAAGAACTGTCTGAAGTTCAAAAAAGGTAAATGCAGGGTCCTGCACCTGGGGAGGAATAACCCTATGCACCAGTACAGTCTGAGAACTGACCTGCTGGAAAGCAGCTCTGCTTAGAAGGACCTGGGGATCCTGGTGTACAACAAGCTGTCCATGACCCAGCAGTGTTCCCTTGTGGCCAAATGGTATCTTAGGGTGCATTAAGTCTTCCTAATTGTCAGATCCTGAGGGAGATGATCCTGCCACTAATTGCCAGATAGAGGGAGTTGATCCTGGCCATCTACTCAGTCCAAGTGAGGCCACATTTGGTGTAGTGTCTACTTCTGGGCTCCATAGTACAACAGAGACATGGAGCTCCTGGGGCAGTTGCAGTGAAGGGCAGTGAAGATGATTAAGGCACTGGAGCATCTCTCTTATGAGTATAGGCTGAGGGAACTGGGCCTGTTTAGTCTCAAGAAGAGATGACTGAAAGAGGACCTCATCAATGTCTATAGGTATCTGAAGAGAGAGTGTCAAAAGAACGGACCAGGTTCTGCTTGGTGGTGCTGAGCAATGGGACAGGAGGCAATGGGCAGAAACTGATGCACAGCAAGGTCCACCTGAATCTGAGGAAGAAGTTCCTTACTATGCAGGTGACTGAGCACTGGAACAGATTGTCCAGAGAGGTTGTGGAGTGTCCCTCACTGGAGATATTCAATACCACCTGGATGTAATTGTGCGCAATATGGTCTGGGATGACCCTGCTTGAGCAGGGAGGTTGGACCAGGTGACCCACTTTGGTCCCTTCCAACCTTACCCATTCTGTGATTCTGTGAAATGCCTGATAACATCTCACTGATAGAAAAAAGCAGTGTGTGTAAATCATCTATGTTCAAATTTCTTCTCCAGAAAAACTGTGGTCTTAATCAACATTAACCTGTGAAACTGAGGTGAAGGATCTCTGACTACTTCTTTATGGGAACACCTTGACAAAATATAGTCCTTCTCACCCACTTTCTCTCATCCGTGACTGTAAGAAATGTTCATTAGTGGAATCTTGAGAGGCTGTCCTGTCCTATCTACCACTTAAAGCAGGGCTGTTGCCTGTACTCACTCAGGATCCCCATGGCTTCCTCTGAGGCTTGGAAACTGGGAGGATTGGAGAACTGAGGGCCTCTTTGGCCCCTGTATCATCTCCTTCCTTTTGCAACCCTTTCCTGAATGCACACCTTCAACGTACATATGAGTTGCATGGTATTGTATTCCCTTTGTTGTCTCATAAATGAAACTGTTTGAACAGGGTCAGCAGTGAGTGAATGTATTTCATGGGTCTTTCATTGGCCTCTTAAAGATGAGTATCTTGGGATTGCGTAATTGTATGTGACTATAACTCCTAGATTTTCACTCACTTTGAGCGAACAATGTTTTTTTTAAGACTAATTTAACAATTCATGTTAACAAAATGGTTTTGACATTTTTAAGCAAAGATCATGAAAGTGGTTTATAAAGGAGGAAGAAAAGCTAACTACTTCGTCTTGCAAAACAAAGCCAGACAAAGTAAATGTATTACCTCTAAAAAGTCACTGCTTCCTCTCTGTGTTTGCTGGATATCAAATTGCAAAATCTAACATAGAAATAGCCCTCACTGAGGAGAGCTGTTTTGGAGTTTTCCACTAAGGCACTGGTTTTGATTGAAATAAGAGACTGAAAATTCACATAGGGTATACGAATAGTATAATTTGCTCACATTTTCTTCTGAAGACAGATGGTGAAGGAAGGATCTCTGTTGGCTGTATTTCTCTGCCATACATACTAGAGAAAAAGAGAGAAGAGCTATCTGCATTCCCAGAAGAACCCATGACTGCACATGCCCTTGCCTCGTTCACACAATGTGTCTTGTGAAGCTCAGCAGGAATGATTTGTATTTAATGAGGATGTATGAGTTGTCCGAATTTTTTTGTGAAAAAAAGTTAGCCAGCTCATCACAAGCATTTCATGTGAAGCCTCAGGGTGTTTGGCAGGGCCAGAATGTAGTGAGTAAGACAAACTGTGCAAGATGTCATGGCAATCCCTGCCAATCCAAAGGATGGAGTTTTTCATGCAAAACTTTGTGCACCTTGGTGGCCCAGCACCAAAACAAGCTCAATGTTTGGGGTTGGGGACTGACAGGGTAGGTCTTATTTTGGAGTGGAAGCTGATATTCTTTGGATCTAACACATGGCTACTCAAAGTCCACTTGAAAGCTTTAAATCCCTTATGAAAAATAGATGGAAAACACTAAATGGATTCCATATTTGTTTGACAGATGAAATATGATCAGGGAGGCCACCGTGCAATGTGTCTCATAAGATGACTACAAGAGAAAACAATACAACTTCCAGTCATAAAAAGATCTTTTTCTAATTGCTTTGTAGGTGGTCTTTGAGGCTTTGCACAATCTGGAGCCTCGTGGATATGTTGTCGGATGGATCATTGCCATCAGTTTGCTGGTGGGAATTCTCATCTTCCTATTGCTTGCTGTGCTCTTATGGAAGGTAAGGTAACAGATGCAACATAAGCACCAAAGCTAGTCCCAGGAAAAAAAGCTTAAATTTGTCCTTGTATTTTTAACATCTATTTGCTTTAGGAACTGAATAATTAGTCAATAAAAACAGTTTCATATACAAGCTTTCATGAGGGACAGGGAGGAACTCATGATGTAGAGAAGAATTGAAAAAGTGGGGGTTTTTAGGGCCTGGTTATTAAAAGTTGAAACCTCTGATACCGTTTCAGGACAACAGAGTGTCCTTCTTAGAAATCTGCTGTTATATTACACTTAGGTACTTTGCATTTGTATGGTTTTCTAATGACTGAGGCTCACTGATTTCAGCAGGATGCCCTGAAAATCATGTCAACTTTGCTTGACCAGCAAAAAAATTGGGTGAATGTCTAGGAAAAATCAGATGGTAGCTACTGCTTTCAAGAGGTAGATGCCCTGGGGAGAGGAGTTTCCAGCAATAAATTCTTCACATCCCTCAAAGAGTTCCAGATCATTTAGTTACTAGAGCAAGAAGCACCTGGACCTGTTAAAAGACAGCCTTCCCACTGTCTCTGATGAGATACATTTCTTTTACTCCAGGCACTGTTACAGGGTAAAACTGGGCTGATGCAGATACTTGGCAGCAGCCATCTTGTGTGGTAAATATGAAGAGTAAGGAACTTCAAGTGTTTTCATTCCTCAGTCCCGTTACCAATCCATAAACTCAAAAGACCCCAGTCAAGGTCAGGGACTATCTCTGAGGGAAGTAAATCTCAAATGCACACACGGGAACATGTCCAGCACTACTTTGCTTCCCATGGCAGACATCCAGCAGTCTGACTCACACTGTTTAGCAGCACGTGTGCTGCTGGCTCTGCTAGCCGGCTGTGTTGGGACTGGGGGTCACAGCCCTAGTGTACTGCAAAAGGACATGTCACTGCAGGTTGTCAGGCTGTAAAATGGATTTACAAACCTGGGTCAAAAACTAGCCATGTAATTCTTATAAATTATAAGTTATATAGTTGTGAGTTATAAATTATATAGTTACATTTTGGATTATGCAGCTACTTCATATAATATATAAATTTTATATGAGTTACAGATTTAAAGCATTTTTATAGTCAGTTTTGAAGATTTTTAAGTGTATACTGGCCAGGTTAAAATTGGCTACACTTTCCATTTCGAAAACAATGTTTGACCGCAGTCTAGAATAACTCATAACTTCTGTTTTTCTGGCATCACAGAAATGCTTTTGCTTTCTGTGGCAGAAAGAGTAAAAGGAAAAAGGGCACTGAAATTAAGATGAGAGAATAACCATGAGAATGGAAAAATGTGAGATTGGAAGAGGCCCAGGGTTTATGTCCTAATGACACAATTCGAAAAAGGAGTTACTGCTGCTGATTTCATATGGCTCATTTCCTGTCATAAAAAGGCACGTTTGAAAATGTGCAGGATAAGAAGAGTATCACCTTTCACTGTGAGTCTCCAGGAGAAACTTGCACAAGTTCAATTCTTAGTCTCTACTAGAGTTAATACAGTCCTTTGCTTCCTGGGTTAATCTTGAGACTTGAGTTCTTTTAAATTTTATAGGGATCATTCAGTTACATGTGAAGAAGCTGCCATTTTGTTGAATGAGAGCTTTGAGAAATTTTGAGAGATTCCAAGTAACAGTAACTATTCCAAGTAACTAACATCAGGTTTACATAGCCCTTTTTGCATGCAGATGTGCTGAGGTGAAGGAAGGTGAGATGCCTTGGCCAGAGTCTGTGTTAGAGATAAGTCAGGCTTTGCCAGCTGTACTCCAGTGGTTTATCCATAGAGTTGCATGATTAGTCAAGGATTCAATAATTTAAGATTTTGTTTTAGAGAAAAGTGATTAAAATTGTGTAGCTGCTAGTGTCAGGTGGTGATTGGTCAAAGGACTCAATAATCTTGGAGGTATTTTTCAACTATAATGATTCTATGATTATATATATGTGCGTGTGTGTGCTTATGTGTATATATATATGTGTGTGTGTGTATACATGTACTCCTCCCCTACACTGAAATCCAAAGAGGTTTTGTGCCATAACTGTGTGTCCCTATGCACCTCAGGGGAGAGGGGATGGGCTTTTTTTTTTAAAAAAAAATCAGTTTTATTTCATTGCAGCATTGATAGAGAAACCTGTTGAAACTGAGTGGCATTTCATATCTTTGATGCAAGTTGTGCCTATTCAGAGTTCACATGCTTCTTCTTTTCTGTACATGTAATTCCAGGAATAAACCATTATTTACTATAGTGAAGCCAAAAATTAAGAAGCAAAATTGATATTCAGACAAACAAGGCAGTCAGCTCAACTTGCTGTGAGAAGACTTATTAGGGGCTACTGATGAGAAGGGTGGATTTCATAGCTCACAAAGGTCTTTCCTGTAGAGATGTAGAGGAACACAGCAGCTGACTCAGAACTTGAAAAGTCTGTACTTCTCCTTTTAATTTTTCTTTTTTTTTCTTCACTATTTCTCCTTGGTTTAAAAATATGTCAACACTAGTTTCTCACACTTTCTTCCAAGTTCCTGCCCACTTTTTTCCTCTAATTTTTCAGCTTACCTCATTTCTAAAAGTATGATCCCTACCTGTAGGAACTACATAGAATCATAGGATCATAGAATCATAGAATTAACAGGGTTGGAAGAGACCTCCGAGATCATCAAGTCCAACCCTTGATCCAACCCCACTGTGATTACTAGATCATGGCACTCAGTGCCACATCCAGCCTGATCTTAAAAACCTCCAGGGACGGTGAATCCACCACCTCTCTGGGCAGGCCATTCCAATGCCTGATCACTCTCTCTGTAAAGAACTTCTTTCTAATATCCAACCTAAACCTCCCCTGACAGAGCTTAAGCCCGTGCCCTCTTGTCCTACTGCTGATTGCCTGGGAGAAGAGACCGACCCCCACCTGGCTACAACCTCCTCTCAGGGAGTTGTAGAGAGTTCACTCAGAGGTCACTCCTGAGCCTCCTCTTCTCCAGACTAAACAACCCCAGCTCCCTCAGCCTCTCCTCATAGGACTTGTGCTCAAGTCCCTTCACCAGCCTGGTTGCTCTTCTCTGGACCTGCTCCAGCACCTCAATGTCTTTCTTGAACTGAGGGGCCCAGAGCTGAACACAATACTCAAGATGCGGCCTCACCAACACTGTGTACAGGGGAAGGATCACTTCCCTGCTCCTGCTGGCCACACTGTTCCTGATGCAGGCCAGGATGCCATTGGCCTTCTTGGCCACCTGGGCACACTGCTGGCTCATGTTCAGCCTCCTGTCAATCAGCACCCCCAGGTCCCTTTCCGCCTGGCTGCTCTCCAGCCACTCTGTGCCCAGCCTGTAGCGCTGCAGGGGGTTGTTGCGGCCACAGTGCAGGACCCAGCACTTGGCCTTGTTGAACTTCATCCCATTGGAATCAGCCCACCTCTCCAGTCTATCCAGGTCCCTCTGCAGAGCCCTCCTGCCTTCCAGCAGGTCGACACTCCCTCCCAACTTGGTGTCGTCTGCAAATTTGCTGATGATGGACTCAATCCCCTCATCTAAATCATTGATAAAGATGTTAAACAGGACTGGGCCCAGCACTGATCCCTGGGGGACACCACTGGTGACCGGCTGCCAGCTGGATGCAGCCCCGTTCACCAGCACTCTCTGGGCCCGGCCCTCCAGCCAGTTCTTAACCCAGCACCTGTCCAAGCCATGGGTTGCCAGCATTTTCAGGAGTATATTATGGGAGACAGTGTCAAAGGCTTTGCTGAAGTCCAGATAGACCACAACCACAGCCTTCACCTCATCCACCAGGTGGGTCACATAGCCCATACCTGTCCTGTCTGTCCATAAAATCTGCAAAAACTGTGACTTGGTTTATGTTCTTTGAAATTCTTCTTTCTGTAGTCCTCAAATCATTTCATTTTGTACAGTTTTTCTGATAAACTTTTCAATTTTATTGGTTTTGTTACCCACTTATCTAGATGCTTTAAGTAAGTTGTGACTTGCTATCTTGTCTAGGCTTCTCAGGGTACTACTTTTTTGATAAAGATTATAGGTTCAGTAGGCCTAGGATTAGGCTTTTTCAATATTATCCTGTTATAAAAATGCAGTCAGGTGATAATTAACTTCTGTAATTCAAGACCAAACCTATACTATCTCTAAACATAGATAGATCTTTATTATGTATAACATCTAGGAAACCTTGAGGAGGGAATGGGTCAGTGGAAGTGATTGTACAAATAATTAAGTTTTCACCAGGCAGAAGTTGTGTGGATCATTTGAAGTCTGTTTATTTTCTTAAAGAGCAGTCAAAGCTTGTTTTATTGTTTCTTTTTCCTGAATCAAAGACAGTATCACAAAATATCTGTAGACCCTTGGCTTACCAAGAGCAAAAGGGTTTGTATTTCTGCAACAGTGATTAAAATGTTGGGTTTTCTGCAGTAGATTACATGGTTGATTTGCTGTGCTTTTTGAATTCTGACTGAATGTAACAGGACGATTGAGTTTGTCATCTTTTATTGTTCTGCACACAAGTAAATAGTTAATGCTGTTGTTGTAGCCAAAACACTGCAATGACCAGTGAGTTTGCCAGCTGCCATGTAATATTTGTTCACTGTCCTCAAGATTGGCAACATTTCAGTGGTGGTATGTGTCCAGTACTTGTAAAATGCCTTTGTTATCTTTCTTGATGTAATGAGCTATGTAAGTGTGTACCAATAATATTGTGACTGAGTGTTCTCTCTGATCTGAGTGTCCTCAAAATGAAAGCTGTGCATGGCAGGGTACTTTGAGAACATTGCAGCTGTGTTGCTCTTGTTCTGGCATGGTGAGAACAAATGTAATCCACTGGCAAGAGAGAGGTAGGCTTGTGGTTCAGAACATCTTTCAGAAAAGAAGAAAGATAGCCATCATTTTCAGGAGTTCAAATCAGTAAAAGAATACATATGTAGATTGAAAAATTGTAAATATGTACCTCAGGTTCCAAGGTTCCCCACTGCTGGAACACAA